ATGTAAGTTTTCCTTGTTATTGCACAATGCTTCCATTTACTTTCATTTAGAAAGAGGTCTTCCCAACAACATCCGTGAAGACTTTTGAAATATTCAATACACACACGTACACACACAAATCTTTTATTTCTATTCATTTCCTTTCTTGAATTTTTCCCGCAATTCCAACTGTCCAAATCATTTTTACTCCGAAGAGTTCTCTCTCTATTCTTTCATGGAACTTTGCCAACAGAAATATTAGTTATCCAATAATGTCCCAGGGAAGCTACTTATTATATTATCCTAAGATAGTTTGCAAATGTATACTAATATAGTGGAAGGAAATCATGATAAAAGTTTGGCGGTCACCTTTTGGAACATTAAATAAAATGTATATTTCAGACAATAGGTTAACCTACTGTACCAGCAAGCTAATCTCTGCTGAGAGAAAAAAATCAATTATAAACATTAAAAACACAGCTACCGCCTCTGAATTTACAGGTTTGTGCCTTGGTTAATGTTATTCCATCAGCCTGGACTGCCATTTGCATCACCCTCTGCCTACTAAAACCTTTTGGAGCTTTTCCTGACCCCTCAGAAAGAACCGGCTATATTTTCACAGTACACAGCATACATCTCTACTTAGCAAGAATGTGATTCTTCCTTATATGTCAGTTAACTGCTTACAAATATATCTCCCACCAGTCAGGAACTTGAATGGAGTTGTTCATAAGACAAACTGGGGCTTTAGGTGAAGATTAAGAATTTTGGTGGGAATGGGACAGAAGCAAAGAACCATCAGAACTGGGGTACCAGAAAGCAATATAATGGAATTAGTTCAGGTCGCTCGATGGGGCAAGTCACACTCATATTTGTTCCATGCATCATCATCTGAGTTGGTGGGCCACCTGTCTTTTGATTGGATACCAGAGTCTTGGTTTCAGGTGTATTGTTTGAATTGGAATAGGACTTTCAGAGTAAAGGTGGAAAAATAGTGAATACAACTCTTTTAAAAAGCTATGTAGAGAGCTAGGGCTTCTTTCAAGTGATCAGATGTTCAAGAAATGATCCAGCTTCAGAATGGAAACAAAAGTGAAAAGTAAGAAAACAACAGATAAAACACTGCAGAGGTTAGAAAACAGGATCTCCATGATTGATAGGCCAACTGGACAGAACGGCAAGAGTAACCTCAAATCCTAATTTCTCCATGGTAAGAGCCCAGTTCTGTGAAATAACTAAGTAGCTATCTTTCTGGATGGATGAAAGGGTGGCTGGCTGCTGGATGGGTGGATGGATAGCTGGATAGATAGATAGATAGATAAGCTTAATACGTACATACATACAAAACTGGAATAAATACACCAAAACTGTTAACAGTTGTAATCTGTAATTTGTGTTGTAGGACTATGGAATAATTTTTTCACCATTATTTTTTCCATCTTTCCCAAACTTTTGATGGAAATATGTCCTGTTTTTATAATCAGAAAAAGACATGTGTATATGTATGTGCTATTTCTTTTTCTTTTGACTAAACCAATAATTTTCAATCTGGGGGCAATTTTGTCCCTAGACAGCATTTGACAATGCCTGGGGACATATTTGGTTGTCACACTGTGGAGTGTGCTGCTGGCATCTAGTGGATAGAGACCAGGAGTGCTTCTGAACATCCTATAATGTACAAGACAGCTTCTAAAATTTGTATATATTAGAAGGTATGATCTTTGAGAATTAGCCAAGTAAAAGTGACCTCTGGACTGATAGATGTTGGAAAAGATTGTGTTTCTTGTTTACCTTTATGTTTCTATATTGACTAGCATGGGTCTTCATGTGTAACAAATTCTAAATAAATGTATATTGGATTGAATTGAATTAAAAATGTATAGCTCTTCTGGACACAATTAATTTAGGTATAAAGATTCATAATAAATGTAAAATAAGTAATTAAAAGATATGTTCTCTGGACTTATCTAGAATCAAGAATTCAATTGATTTAATTCAGTAAGAGGATATTGGCCTCTTCTGAGCATCTATCATTTTCCCAGGTGCTCTACAGAGTATAATAACAGAAAATGCATTCCCTGACCTTGAAGAATTTGCAAGCTAACCAAAGAGAGAACATATCTTGAGAAAATCATTTTGATCTAGTGTAAAACAGCACATGGTTGCATGCCAAAATGAGCAACTAATTAGTGCAATAAGAGTTTAAGGAACAGAAAAATTATCAATATGTCTGAAGTCGTCAGAGATGGTTTCACGGCAAAGAAGAGAATTGAGCTGACCCTTAACAGACTGACAGGTAGAATTGCAGTATGACCAGCAATGAGGGGAAGGTATTATAAGGCAGAGAAAATAGCATGAACAAAACTAAGAAGATAAGACTGATCACGTGCAGGTTCATGGGGCGTGAGAAGACTCTCCTGGCTCAAGCAGGTGATAGATTTGAATTGCCGTGAAGGGGCCAGATTATGGTAAGAACCAAATGAGTGAATATCGATAGGAATACCCTGTAAAGTATCTAAACCTGTGAGTGAGATAAAACATGCCATCTCCAAACAAAGTTTGGAAATTGTGTTTTCAGTTTTTAGCAAACAAAGTGATTACTTAACCTAATACGGTTTAGCATCACCTTCCCACACACTGAGCGCTTTGTGCTATAAAAGTAACAATCTGGGCTACATAATGTACCTAACATTCCATAAAAGTGACCATTAGCAAAGGCAAGGCAAATTTAGCCACAGCCCCATGTAGCCTTTTCCACGCTTGTGACTACAAAGATAGTGAGAGTCCTCATTTCAGAAGAGTAGTGCTCTAATTAAAGAATTATTTTAACTACCTTAACTAATACCCTGATTTTATGTTTTCTTTAAGATAATAAGAGAACAAGTATTATGTTTGGTTAAGGAGTCTTGCAGAAGATAGAAATGTACAGTTAATGTTGTTAAGAATGACTAGGCTTAATTCAATGCACATGTATGTTGAGCTAGTAGTTAAATGCAAGAGGGAATAGATCATTGCCTCCAAAAGCTCACCTTACACTTACAGTCTGTTTTCATAACACTTTATACTTGTTAGGATAAACTTACCTTTCCAGATTGGAGGCCCAGAAGAGAGAACTTTGGGGAATAAATAGGCTTTATATTTGTTATAACAAGAACTCCAATTAAATAACAATTTATCATTAACAAAAACTCCGAAAACAGATGGACCACTATGTCTTTAAAATCAAAGATTAGCATTATATACATTTGAGACTATAAATATTATAATCAAATTAACTATAAAGCAAGAATTCTTAGATCCCCATAAAAGAGGTTTTGGTAAATGTTAACTCGCCTACAAAGCTTTGTTGGTTAGGAATAGGCGTATAACAGCCCTACTTATGGTGGCTCAGCCAAATGGAGATTTGGTTTTCTTTGAAGAGAATTTGAGAGGAAGGCAAACCAGGACTCTTATTGGTGGCTCCATGATACCCATTTAGGACAAAGCTCCTTTTGGTTTTCTAATATACATTCTTATATGACTTCCAGTTACACTCCATTGTCCAGAAACATGTCACATGAACCACCCCTAATTGAAAGGTAGGCTGAAAAATATAGTTTTTAACTGTGTACATTGCATTCCTAAATAAAGTAAGGAAGAAAGGGAAAGATTATGTAGGCCAACTAGCAAACCCCATCAACAACACAAAATCAATGATTATAGTAAGACCCTAGGCATTATATGCTGGTTAAACCACTACAAAGTGAATTCAGTCTGTAACACATAACTCCAATATCTAGATGCCACACAAAGTCCATTTCCCAGGTTTTCTTTAACTAGGTCATTTTGTACCTTTAAACTACGCTTTTGTCTAATGGATTTCTTGGAGAACAGCCCAAGCACAGTTTGTATCCATTCATAGAAAAGGTTTGGGTATAGCATTACTATGCCTACAAGGGCAAGAGTGATCTATGAAGATTTCCGCTCACTCAGAGAGTTCCCAATTGTTATATTATGGATGGTAATTTACAGAGCTAATTCAGGGACGTGAAAAAAAAACAGAATTGCAGGAAATTGCAGGTATGGGAGAGTAAATCCTCACTCTCCCAGCTGCTTTTTACTTTTGCTAGTAAGGAAGCAACTGGTGAAATATTAAGAGCTGTCAAGTTCCTGAAAATAATAGCTCAATATCTAAGAGTATCTAGCACGTAGTAGATACTCAAGTAATATTTGTTGACTAAACCTTTTGCCTATCTACCCTTATCAAAGGTTGCACAGAACTTGGTTAAAAAGCATCATTCTCCACTAACTTTAATGAAGTGGTCAAAAACATTTAGTCAGCATCTACTCTGTGAATAAAGACGCTGTGAGAAGCCCAAAGGAAATGCTTGCTGTGATCTCTTACCCTGAAGGTCTTGCCCTGTGTTTTATGTGACCTGGCAGATTTTTTTGACCCACATCCAATGTTAATTAATAAAATCTATAGGAATTGGTTTCTAAGCCATTTGGCCACCAAGCAGATGGTTAACATTGTAAAATCAATTTAAAGCCATTTTTAAGTGTTTAAAATCATCTTATAATTTCCTAAATCAGCGTGTAAGTCAGCATGAAATGGAAGTCAGTGACTACCAGTCAACACATCGGTTGATCAAGCACTGACTTGGTGTTGAGGGGCATTTGAAGATGCATGAATAACAGCCCAGAAGGACAACTTATAATCCATTTAGGGAGACAATATGTGTGCAGGGAGAAAAAACGTGTAATAATGTCACATTACACTTACAACTTGTCAAATTAATAGAACAGACAGTAAATATTTCATTTTCCCAGAATACCAATAAATTTGGACTTTGCTAAAGTGGAAACAGGGACCAAATATATTCTGCTGCATAATTCAAATTTTGAGACCCTGATAAGAGAATCATAGCACTTTGAAGATTAGAATATAAAGTACTATTTGGCATAGATAATCTATAAGGAATTCACTTGAACCATAGGAGGAAATAAAAACAATTATTCTTTTTTCTTCTTTTTTAAATTAGGTCATGGAACTAAAGGAGTATTTGAGCTTCTGTCTGGATGGCGGAGAACCAGAGAGAATTTGCCCTTCAAGGACAGGGTAGCAGATGCCTATTCTGATGTGATGGTCACCTATACCATGACCAGCTCCCTGTACTTCATTACCTTTGGCATGGGTGCCAGCCCATTCACAAACATAGAGGCTGTGAAGGTCTTCTGTCAGAACATGTGTGTCTCCATTCTGTTAAACTACTTCTATATTTTCTCCTTCTTCGGCTCCTGTCTCGTTTTTGCTGGCCAACTGGAGCAAAACCGCTACCACAGCATCTTTTGCTGTAAGATCCCTTCTGCAGAGTACCTGGACCGCAAACCTGTGTGGTTCCAGACAGTGATGAGTGATGGGCATCAACAGACATCCCATCATGAGACGAACCCCTACCAGCACCACTTTATTCAGCACTTCCTCCGTGAACATTACAATGAATGGATTACCAATATCTATGTGAAGCCATTTGTTGTCATCCTCTATCTCATTTACGCCTCCTTCTCCTTCATGGGGTGCTTGCAGATTAGTGACGGAGCCAACATCATCAATCTACTAGCCAGTGATTCCCCAAGCGTTTCCTATGCCATGGTTCAGCAGAAATATTTCAGCAACTACAGCCCCGTGATAGGATTCTACGTCTACGAGCCCCTTGAGTACTGGAACAGCAGCGTCCAGGAGGACCTACGGAGACTCTGCAGTGGGTTCACCGCAGTGTCCTGGGTGGAGCAGTATTACCAGTTCCTGAAAGTTAGCAACATCAGTGCCAACAACAAGAGTGACTTTATCAGTGTCCTACAAAGTTCGTTTTTAAAAAAGCCAGAATTCCAGCATTTTCGAAACGATATCATCTTCTCCAAGGCAGGGGATGAAAACAACATCATTGCTTCTCGCTTGTATCTAGTAGCCAGGACTAGCAGAGACAAGCAGAAGGAAGTCATAGAAGTGTTGGAAAAGTTGAGGCCTCTGTCCCTCTCAAAGAGCATCCGATTCATCGTGTTCAACCCCTCCTTTGTGTTCATGGACCATTATGCCTTGTCTGTCACAGTGCCTGTTCTGATTGCAGGCTTTGGTGTTCTCCTGGTGTTAATCCTGACTTTTTTCCTAGTGATCCACCCTCTGGGAAACTTCTGGCTAATTCTTAGTGTCACCTCAATTGAGCTGGGTGTTCTGGGCTTAATGACATTATGGAACATCGACATGGATTGCATTTCTATCTTGTGCCTTATCTACACTTTAAATTTCGCCATTGACCACTGTGCACCACTGCTTTACACATTTGTATTAGCAACTGAGCACACCCGAACACAATGTATAAAAAGCTCCCTGCAAGAGCATGGGACAGCCATTTTGCAAAATATTACTTCTTTTCTTATTGGGTTGGTCCCCCTCCTATTTGTGCCTTCGAACCTGACCTTCACACTGTTTAAATGCTTGCTGCTCACCGGAGGTTGCACACTTCTGCACTGTTTTGTTATCTTACCTGTGTTCCTAACCTTTTTCCCCCCTTCCAAAAAGCACCACAAGAAAAAGAAACGTGCCAAACGAAAGGAGAGAGAGGAAATTGAATGCATAGAAATTCAGGAGAACCCTGATCATGTCACCACAGTCTGAAGGCTATAGACTAATGGATTATTTTTCTTTTCCAGTATTGCACAACGATGCAGGGCAAGTAAAGCTCAGACCTCAGCTGCTTGGGCTGGCCCGGGGTAACAAGGCAAGTCAGATCAAGAGTGAATTATTCCTGACGCATCAAGGTGTCTGCTTCCTGGGGGGAAGAGGGAATCAAACAAGGGGAAAAAGTTCTTTGCAACCTTGTTCTCCACTAAAGATAAGTTTCTGGATGTGATCTTAGAGTTCTTCCAAGGAATGGATGAATCAACGGAGTGTTCGAAGGCCAAAAGAACCAACCGCTTTTAAAAATAAAATACTTAGGAGAGATGGAGAAGAGAAGAAAGGGGGCCTCCAAATGGGGAAAAAGACATGGGAAATGTCAAAATTGCCATGGCACTTTTCATATTCGTTTTTTGAACAGTTTGGTCAAAGGAAACCTATGCACTTGGGAAGTACATATTTAATCCTGTCTAAACCAAAGGACTTCCCAATCCATTTTATATGTACATATATATGTATATATGTTATATATACATATACTTAGATTTGTCTTTAGTGTACACTGACATTTGTGTAGAGGGAGGTGTCCGTTTGCAGATAGGCTGGCCTTTCTCTAGAAAGTCAAATCAGCCTTAGCCATATGTAGATGCATTAACGGTCATTTAAAATCAATTCAAGTGTTTCAGCTTCAAGAGTATTATTCAACTGTGTGATAAGCAAAATAAACAGAGATGTAAGTCCCTTACATTCTACATATCATGTTGTCAATATTTGAGATTCTTGCTTTGGATGACTAAGCAAAAAACATAAAAAGGCATTTGAATTAATTACCACATGGCAAGGTTTAAAATCTCATGTTAGAGCTAAATAGTTGATATGGCTTTTCATTGGCTTTTAGTGATTCTCTGTATTTGGGGAGGCTGATTTGGCTGCTTTCAGAGAGCTCACCCACTGCAAATGATCACTTTACACGTATTGTCCATACATACATGTATAGAGTGCACAAGTTTGTGTGTGTGTGTGTGTGTGTGTGTATGAGTTTGGGTATTCCATAGTTACAGTGTTCTCATTTTAGATGGTGAAAATATACTGCCATGGAACATAGATAATTAACATAGGAGAAAGGAGACATAACTAGGAAACTTGTTGTAGAGTGAAATAGAGAAAATGGACTATCACCACTCATCATGCACCATCAACTGGTTCTTAGTGTAAGGAAAATATTCCAATCTTATGAAGTCTAGTGTGTTCCTTGCATTAATATTTGGAACGTTAACCCAGGCCACGATCACTATAGTAGTGGTCACTATACCTACTGCAATATCATTTTGTAGCTTCTTGCAATATCGTTGTTCTTGTTACCTGGAAAGTGCTCCTCGGTTGGCCCACCTCTGCGGGTGATGGTAGCTCTCCACAGGTGGCATATTAACTGTAACTGCTGCTGAATTCTCTCTCACAAAAAGGACTAAGGTAAATGTTTTCATTGAGTTCAAGTTTAAAACTGCTCCCCAGCAGATAGACTCCGTCTGTTGGGTGCTTACTTGGATTAATGCTGTGCTTCCTGTCACAGAAAATTACTAGAAAATGCCTTTGCCTATGCCAAGCAGTAAAATGAGTAAATTTTCAGGTAGGACTGAACAAATGTCTGATGATTATAAAATCTGCCAGGAAGCCCTTTTACCTGGAAAAGAGCTACGGTCTCCCATCAACTTTGGTTGTATATTTTAATTGAATTTAAAATATTAAAATCTAAAAATACAAAATATAACAAAACAAAACAAACTACTGGATTCATTTCAGTTCAGAAAATCGACACAAACCATTCCATTCTGGTTGTAGTCTTTCGAAAGGAAGTTGCTGAGTTAATGAAATAACAAAACCAGTGTACTTTTACAAATAAAGAGTTTGCCAGAATATTGAGGGGAAAGAGAACTTTTTCTAAAAGGAAAAACATTTATTTTATCTTACTGAATGGCGTTTGTTTTGTCCTACCGTGAGGTTATTGAGTTTCTGTTAGAAATGATCCACGTCTTCTCAACTGTGTTCATCTGGACACAATATCAGTACATCAAGTATGGAAAATAATTGCCATAAACAAAGGATTATTGTTCTTACATGATTTGTAAAGTCATACCACAGATAACCCCAGCCTTTTTCCTCCTGGACTGCTCTAATAGTATGAACTGCTCTTTGGCACTAGCAGACCAACAGACCGCGATCTCATATCTGAAGTAGAAGTTTCTGAGGAGTTGGTTTTTCGAGGGAGGGGCAATTCTTCGTTCACAGCTAACTCATCATTTGTGAAGATTTGTTTTACATTCCTTTCAAAAGATGGGAGGTAATCTGCTAAGAAATTCCGCTATCACTCCATTTCTTTCCAAGTTATGCCATACTCCATTCATTGGCCAATTTTTAAAAAGCTTATCTGTTTGGATCATTATTTTTCTTGATTACCTTAGACAATTCCACATGCAAAGAATATTGGCAGGCTGATTTACAAGGAAAGAATTGAGCATGCCAGTTGCCAAATGCATATGAGGTTAGTGGCATTTATTGCCGAACCACTGGGGTAGTTCTAATATCATGCCTCCATTTAGATAGTCTCTATTTGGATAGGGAAAAAAACATTCCTTTTAGATTATATCTTCAAGGATCAAAATGACTAAGATAAATATGAATTTCTCATTGTACAAGTGAGTAGAGGGGTAGAATTTTGGAAGGGACGTTATCTTTTCCAGGACACCCTGGTCCTCTTTAGCGAACTGTAGCAATAATTTATTGAACTGGAATTTCTTGTTCTGGAAGAGTTAATATACCACCCAAAATTCCTTAACTCCATCCTAGCAAGTAATTTAAGTCCAGTAGGAACCTAACTGAGTGTCATCTGGCCTCCCAACCTCACTGTGAAACAGATATTTCCAAGAATTCCGCTTACTGAATGCCAAGATACATCCTAAAGTATGGGATCATGATTTGCAGACAATGCTCAACCTCTGCCTTTTTGGGTAGCTTGTGTGCAACTCTCTCTAGTTTTCAAGTTTACTCCCATTGTTTTATCTATTTGTGAAATACTGTTGGTGTTCAAATTAGGAACTTATCTACTGCTAGAAGATGACCAATCAGCTCCTAGAAGAGAAGAAATCTGTGGGAAATATTTCAGATAAATAGAATATTTCACTTTGTTGAAATGTGTTTTTCCCTTCAAGTGAGAGATTTTAAAAGTTTGCAAAACCCCCACCATTTCTGAATTTAAACTGAATGTAGATTTGTTTCCTCCTATCAGAATTTAAATATGAATTAAGTATCATAAGAGTTCTACTCTCCAAGATGGTTAATAAAGCTTCAAAGAGGTACTCACCCAAATTATAGGAGGAGATTTGGCTAAAAGTTAGATTCTTAACCTCTTATAGTTAAAGGTAATGATACGCTAACTTAACCATACATAACTTTTTTTAATGAAAGGTTTGCTTAAATGTCATCCTATGAATTCTTCCAGGGACCGTGAACCTCTTTGAAGGTTGTGCATAAATATTCCATGAAAGAATTCTTCTCCACGGTGGTTATATCATGTGAGTGTTTCTTTCCCATTTGATTCCTATTTATTTCCACAGAATTCTGGTTTTACCTTATGAGGTTAGAAGAAGAATTATGACAAATGAAGCTTCTATGATGCTATAACAGCCATTCTTGAATGCTGAATTCAAGAGGGTGAGAGCTTTGTCCATTTTGTAATTACCCATTGCACTTTCCCATAATAAGCTAATCCTTTGAGGCTTGTGGTTAGAGCTAGGGATTAACTATTGCCATTCAGAATTACATGTATTTTTATAAGTTGACTGTATATATCATAATTACAGTCACATATTTTTTATGACCAAATAGTTATGAATGCCTGGCACTATGCATGCATTGTTACTAGTAGTATATAGATTTTTTAAAGATACTATTTTCATGGTGATTGCAACTTTTATTAAAATTCTTATATCACCCATTCATAAATGCCTTGTAGGTTTTGGTCCCAAGGGCCTAAAGTCCACAGGAAGTTCCATTCCAAGGGGAACAATTTAAAAATTGCCTTCCCTGAGTGTCAATGGCAGCAACCTCTTCGAGAATGTCCTCTGGAGAATCCTAGAGGCTAAATCTGGCTTCCAGATAAAGATCAGAGCGGATTCTGTGTTACTCAGTCATTAAGCATACTTTAATGCCCTGTGTTTGTTAATCTCATGATGAACCAGAGAATACAATGCCTTGAGACTAGAATATAGATGTTGTCTCTTGTGGATTGGAGAACTTAATGATTTGCTCAGCCTGTTTCTAGAGAGTCTCTTTTGTCGGTGTTTGTAAATGGTATTGATAACCCTTTCAAATATGAACCTGAAAACTGTCATTTATTCCAAAAGAGATTTAGAAGCGTTTTTATTCCCCTTAAAAACAAAAAACAACAACAACAAAACACTTCTTGCTTTTTCTGTGTTACAAAGAGAATTTTATGACAAGTTTTATAACATTGACTCAAAACCTAGCTATAGACAAATGGGTATGCCCTTGAAATCTCCCCATCTTGAATCTAAACATAAAGCTCAGCATCATCAGCGTGGTGCAGGCATTTACATCAACCCTTTTAAGCAATGATCTGCCAATATATTATGTAGGGAGAAAATGAGCTAGATTTTTTTTTATTGGTTTCTCTTCAAAATCATGACTGCAAATATATTTATTCAAATGAAAGCAGCAAAGCCATAAATAAAAGTAACAAAGCCTCTTTGCATCAGGTCCAGCATGGTAGGGACTATAGATAGGTAAAATAGCAGTAAATTACCTTGATTTCTAAACTAAAGAGCCAAGGTTTAACTCACCATTATGTTTTAGTTAGAAGGGCAAGTGTTTGTGCTTGAAGAGATGCAGATTTGGATCAGGTAACATTTGGAGTAAGGTTGAAAGACTGTTGAGAAATGAGCCTACATACTTAGAAATCAAGATGTCAGTAAGAAGGGATGATAGAGCATGTGGGAAAATTGCACATATTTTACAGTTTAGCATCCAGCACAGAGAATTGCACGGTGCCTCAAAACTATAGATTCTCAACTGCTAGCAAAGTTGATCAGATGCAATTATATCTCACTTGAAGTTTCTCTTCTCATTTGTCAGATTCTGATCTTTGTGGGGAAAGTGCTCCTGGATTTCCAAGCGTTAACCAGAGCTATAGATGATTTTGTGAGTGAAAGTGGGATGTTAGGGGGACTCCTTGAAAAGAAGCTTCAAGTTAACACCCAGATAAGCATTATTCATTCCCAGAGATGGCTGTCAACATTGCTCTGATTTTGTGCGTCTTTGAGACATAACAAATACTCTTTTGATGTCTTCTCTGTACTTAATGAAGATCTCTCTGTTGCTGATAGAGAAGCCACTTGCTTATAAAATGGAAAACAATTTGAAGAGAGAAATATATAGGGTCAAAAATCATATACTAGAATAGTACAGATGACTAGTCGACAGATAACATCATATCTCTGCTGCATTTCTAAAGACGTCATCAAAATTATATCGACTTATATCCTAAATTGATAACCTCTATAAGGTAGATATTTTTAATATAATAAAGTATTTATAAAAAAATCATTGCTAATTTTTCACTTTTATAAATTATAGAAAGTCAATCCCTACTATTTTTCCCAGTTGACATTTTCCCCTAGAAAGTTTTCACAGGTCCTGCTAATTATGAAGTCTTAAAAATCAGAAGGCAGGGGCCGGCCCAGTGGCACAGCGGTTAAGTTCACACGTTCCGCTTCTCAGCGGCCCGGGGTTGACTGGTTCGGATCCCGGGTGTGGACATGGCACCACTTAACAAAAGCCATGCTGTGGTAGGCGTCCCACATATAAAGCAGAGGAAGATGGGCATGGATGTTAGCTCAGGGCCAGTCTTCCTCAGCAAAAAGAGGAGGATTGGCAGCAGTTAGCTCAGGGCTAATCTTCCTCAAAAAAAAAAAAAATCAGAAGGCAGCTTTAGAAACAGAAGAATAAGAACATCTAATGTGTGATTCCTGCTCCATGCCACGTGTTTACACTTATCTGAACTGGGGCTTTTAGAAGTCATTTGTAACTGTGTTCTGGTTTCTCACATGGCTGACGGCATGGCCAGATAGAGGAAGAGTATGGTTTCCTTTCTCTCTATTTCTGTAGTGATTAGAGCAACCACATTACCCACAGGGCTCTGTCAAAACAGTGGAGAAATAGAACTTTAATCCTATGGAAGATTTCATTGAAGAATTTCCTAGGAGTAACTAGGAGAGACTGCATGGGTAAAAGACAAGTGGAATTTATTATGTGTGTCACTTTCCAGTCCTGCATAAATTTATTAACTTGGATTCTGGCAGAAGCAGTCCACAGTATGTTGTGTGGAGCATTTAAGTTATCTAATGTAAGTTGGTCAATAGCATCTCCCCTGGAAACTGAAATACCTTCCATCATTCTATTTGGTCGATTCACTGATTATTGATAGCCACAATAAGAGAGCTGGAAAAAGACCAAACTGTCATATTCCTGCATGTCCTGTGGCAGTATGCAGCATCTATTTTGAGGTAGAATCAAGCAATTCTGGCATCTTTTCTTCTCAAACATAAAAGTGCTAGGTGCCGATAAATTAGACGTTAAACTCACCAGTGGAAATATTCCAAAGTTTTAGCAGAGTTTAAGCAACAACTTTATTATACTTTCCTTTTAATTATGCATATTTTCCAGCAAAAGACTTTCCTGCTCTTAGATAGCAAATCTGTCACAGCTTGAAAAGGGCAGAGATCTTTCAAGCTACCTCATAAGGGTATTTAAAGACAAAATGGCGTGCAACCTTTGATTAAATGGCACTATAGTAAAGCCACACAGTAATATTATTTATCACCCCTCCTTGATGCTCTTTCACTTTGTAAATTTAGAGCAAGCTAAATGTAAAAGGAATACTCCTATGTGCAATCCCATTTGTGCATTCTAGTTAATGTAATATTCATTAATATGAAATCTCTCAGGGTAGTTGTTTGGTTGTCTCTCTACAGACATCCCAGAGCATGAAATGGTTCAGAAAGAGAATGCCTGACATTGACTTTGAGGCAGTGGGCCACCTAGTGAGGTGCGCAATCAAGTAACCCGTGAACAGCTTCAGTAAAACTTCCAAGTGCACTTCCTACCAATGGAGGCGAACTCAGGTTTTCTGTTCGCTTGTTTACCCTAAGCAAATAGAAAGAGACAAAGTCACTAGTATTTGACATTTTACTTAGGTTTTCTTTTGTACTGGATGCCATTATATTATTTTTGGCTAAATTAGGGTTCTGAAACACAGGCCACTTTCGGAAACATTAGAATCAGTGAGAAGAAAACTCTTAGAAAAAAACATTCTTTGCCCATGCAAAGACAAATTGTAGGAATGAAAGTAAAAGTTGAGTACTTTTATTTCCTTTTTTTCCTAAAACAAAAGCCCACTTGTGCTTAATCCTGGCTAAATAAAATTTTCTATAACAAAATTAAAAAGAATGATAAAAATTATGAAATTATGACACTCCAGCGTCTTATCAATACAAACCTCATGGCAAACCATCGTTTTCAGATGACTTTCTCTATGAGAACATGCTCTTTTTAAAGGTTCTATGACACGTAGGTTCTTATTACCACATCTCACTTATGAAAACAGCTCGTTTATCACTCCTAAAATAGAGCAAATAAAGTAATAAGCTTTTTTAAAGCTCTGCTCTGTAAATATGTATCTTGGTCTCTAAAAATAAAACTACTTATTGAGGAAAGCTTAAAGAAGAATTTTGAACAAAAATGCCAATATCTAAAAATATATATACGTTACCTAAGTTATATTTCCATCCCAAAATATCTCCAAAGTAGGGAACTGACTGGGTACCCGTGTTAGATCTTACCAAGAAGCAAACATCTCATGTGAGTCTTTTCAAAGTCTCCAAATTGCCTGAATTTGGGCCTTCATCAAAATTTATCTCCATTCTCTATGCATGAAAAGAGAAATTTTATAGATGAAAAGAGAATTTATAAATCAGGTTTTTCTAACTATAATAAAAATAAAGAAATAACAAATTATTCCCCATAGATTTGAACATGTAAACCTACATTTAATTATTAATCTCACAACTCAATCAAGAGAAATTATGCTGCAAATGTTTCCTTGTTTCTTTCAGATTATTTTCATACTTTGGATACATGGAGATAGAATAATTTGAGTTAAATTCCTCAGGATTACTCTGTTTAAGAAGTTTATGATCAAAAGCCTAAAGGTAAAACTCAAGAAAAACAACAATAAACTCTTAGCTACTCGCAAAAATGTTGTCTCAGTTATATTCACTATAATGCCACCAGGCAAAGTTATTTACAGTATTTCTGGCTGGGTTGACCTTCTAGTTTAACAACAACAACAACTAAAATCTAGTTCCATTTGTCATAATAAAGAACAGTTAACACATTAAAGCAGCGGTAGATGCTAATACCGGTATTTACTCTTTAGTTCCCGGGGTCAGTTGACTTCACCAGTTCTTTCTAGATCACAATTCCAAATGCTGCAGGCTAGGTTGTTCATAAATTCACTGCACTCTCCTTTATTTCTCATTGTTAATTTTAAGTGCCCCACAGTATGTCATAATATGTGACTTCTTCATCTAACCTCAGTGTGATCTTTGGGTTCCTGTTCTTTAGGGAAAGATTCTTCTAAGCTAGGAATTAAACTTCCTAAATGTAACATCTTATGATATCACAATGTAACATAATAATCTGTACTTCTTTAGTCCTTTATTGAATTACAAGTTCTAAAAATTTTCACTTTTATCCTTTAAAAATTCAAGAATTGTGCATTAAAGATAATACCATGATAATATCTATCAATTATTTCTACATGGTTAAAACAAAGCAGTCTGAATCAAATACAAAACACCTTGACATTCCTGAGACATATTTTCTATGAATCTGTAAGTTCTCAAATATCTGTATAACATATAAATTACTAAAGTGTTACTGAAATACTTAGGTGGCACTTTAAGACCCCTAATAGTTTTATTAACTTCAAGTCTAAAGTAATTTATAATCAGTTCAAAAGAATTTGGCCTAAAACTTCTCACTGCATTACATTGTAACACTGTAGGAACATTAACTATAAAAGTTCTTAAATCACCAATTTTTCACCACATGAGAGCTACAGAGATGGAAAAAATAATAAATAGGCTAATGGCTCCCGAGCAGTACAGAGATTTCTTCACAAAGCACATCCCTTAGGCTGCGTAGGGTTACAGTTCCAAGTTTGGACAAAATTATTCATGAGCTGTCAGCACCACTTCTAAGTCATTAAAGCCAAAAATGTTAAGTCTTTGAATGCTCAAGTGCACTGTATTCTGATGAATAATGTGGTGGCATTACAAGAAATACGTAGATAACCAACATTTACAGGATTTAAGTACATGTGATGCCAAAATTATACTGAGACAATTTAACAATCTGCAATTCACTGTACAAGCTTTTGTCACTGCAGTGTCATCTTTGTTACTGACATCATTTGTATGACTAAATAGAGAACATTTCATTTTATATAGTATTTCATATTTTTTAAACAAGAATGCCCAGAATTTTGTATGGAAATGTTTGTATTTACTCAATAGCCATTTTCCTGTCCAAATTTAACATTTTAATCATTAATTTATTTTGCTTTTTTTTCTTTGTTTAAATGTGTTCAATTTTTTTATTTCTAAAATAATTTTCCTTAGAGTAATTAAAACATCTTTTTCCTTTAGCTAAGGGTAAGCATGGCTAGAAAGGAGAAAAACAAGAGCTTAGCAAAATTAAGGTGGACAGGTGAACACATTTGTAAGCACTAAAGTTTGGGAAAAGTGTTAATCATTGTGAGTTGTATGTGAATCAAGCTGAAATTCCCTACTGCTTTTAATAACGGCAGCTGACATGGCAAACAGTATATATTACAGGTCCTTCCGCTGAGCAAACACTTGCTAATTATCTATTCAATGAAGAAAATAAATGAAAGAATCCTCCTGCGTCTGACTTGTCTGCCTGTGACCTAATGTGAAAGGAGTTAACAGTCTCAGCTTGTCAGAGCCCGTATGTGCATGTTTTTGTTATTGTTTTATTTTATTTTCTGGAATTCTTCTTTATAGCCAGTTACATAGCAATAAGGCCCCACATAAAGGACAAATTTCAGGTGTGTTGACACTAACTGTCCTTTCTAATAAGTCGAAATGCTAGAGCCTAGAGCTATGTGCATCTTGATAGTGAAAGAAAAGGGAATGCGATTTGACGTGAAGAAAAAAATGAAAGGACAGGGATGATGAAAAAAAAAATGGGGAGAAGTCAGTAAGAAAAACAAATACAAAACTTTTGAAGAGGGAAATAAATAGCTGAACTAAAATTTTTATTTGTTTTCTATTTGTTAGCTTATTTTTTTGTTTTTTTAAAATAACCATATTGGAAGGGGTCGGAAGAATGTTGACATATCTAAATCTCCAAAAGCTTGTTTGCAGTTAACCCTTAAAAAAATAGGACCAGAAATCCAGCTGTATTTTAGGGTCAAGATTTACTGTGGATGGGTTTCTGGAACACTCCTAAACTAGTTCAGATTATGTTTATTTACTCAGCAAATTTTGAGGAGTACCTATTTTGGTCTCTGTTCTAGGCTCAGAGAAAAATAACAATATTCATAGTCCCTCCCTTTGAGGCACCTATGATCTGTTGAGGAAACTTCTGGCTGGGATGTTCAAGATAGGCAAGGAAGGCATCATGAAAAGATCCACCTTGGAGCTTGG